CGGTTACGGGTACTTTTAATTTTGCCCTTCACGTTGCCTATTTGGTCAACATACGTCCGTCTAGGGCGGCCCCTGCCGACATCTCCATTCATTCTTGCTCGATAAATCTCTTTCGTAATTCTGCTTTCATCCATCCTCTCCAAATGACCAAACCAATGCAACATTCCTTTTTCGATTTTTGTCACTACATCGTCTTTCAGTCCACACTTCTCTCTAATCACATTGTTTCTTACTCTATATTTTAATGTAATTTGCAATCAAAATATATTTTGCTACATTGAATGTATATATTATTTCAGTTATACAGGTGCATGCACTTACTAAGTATATATATAAAGCATAAATAGCTTATCTAAATGTTATTATTAATGTGGAGATCCTATAAAATTGTAACCAAACAATGTCTGTATATGGGAGGTATTTAAAAAAAATTAATGAGAATTAAGATCAATAGGTGCAATCATTTTTAGAAGTTTCGTCGAAAGAATGTTTATTTCGGCGTTACTCAAAAACTAACACACCAAATTAGATGCGGTTTTCTCAGTTGTATTCCTGAAGTTCTAACTTAAAAATTGGTGTAGTTTTAACTCGATACATTATACAGAAGTAGTCTACTTTGATTTTATATTCTTGATATCTACGTCTACAAAGTAGTAGGCAAAAAGTTATAGTATAAATAAAAAACAACATAAATCATATGAAATAAAAAACAGAAACATATATAAATAGAAACTATGCGCATTCATAATGCTCAAGCATAACTTTTTAGTAGAATCAATAGACTAGAACCGAGTTTCCGCATTAGGTTATTGCTAAAGTATATATAAGCTGTTTCTTCTCTTCATATCATATTCACAGTTACAGATTAAAAATATCTCAAGATTTTTGTTTTAATATTTGTAGTCAGAACTCAATAAGTCTATTCTAATTACTTTATGTCCCATTGCCTGACAGGATAGTATGTTTAGAAACCGGATAATGAACATCTGGGGTCATCCAAACTCGAGCTAATTTAGAAATGGTTGTTTAGTAGATACCCGTTTAAGTTGCTTTACCTTAATAAATATGTACGACACTACATATAGGATAAGCGACAAACAAACAAAGCGACACTCTCATATTTTGATCGTTTGCAGGGGGAAAATATACACACTTTATTTATAGCGGAGAAACTCTCACGAGTTAAAGTTTATAATTTTCTCAAAGATGCTTATACGAGTAAGAAATTGATGGTCGTAATATTGAGACGACATTGAATATATACAGAAGGACTAATTAACTCAAAGAAGTAACTTTTAAAATTTTCTATCAGATAACGAAAGCAACTAAGGTCTCATCATCATTATATTAGCTGTCCACTACTGAACATAGGCCTCTCCATAAGGATAGTTATACCAGCAGGTGCCATGTTTGGATTAGATGATGTTTTCAGATGGACGCTGTTACCCATCCCTCAATCATTAAGTTTTCTTAGTCGCCTCTTAAGATACTTGATAAAGGTACTTAAGATATAGGAAGGGATGATATGTTCTGACGGGATCACATGCCAACTAAGGACTGAAACATGAAAATTCAATCAAGAGGCAATCTTTTCCGGTTCCCAAAATGCTCAATAACGTGGACGCGACTGCAGAAACTAATGTTTATGTTACTTTGAAAAAAAAAAATGTAGTAAATATCACACATGACAGAAGTATATATCATTCGCGCAATAATCTACGTAAGAAAAAGGAAATCACTGAGGTAATAAATGTCTCTGAAATGTAGTGCACAGGGTACAATTGCGGTGGCGGCGGCGTCGCGTCCGGGGTGACAGACGGCGCGCCGCTATTTCTGGCGGGGTATTTGCGTCGCGACGCCACATCGCACCGCACCTACACTACACGTGCCGTTTGCTGCTTGCAACGTGCAAAATGCTATTGTCACTGTGATTTTTACTGTCCACTAGTTTTACCACTCCCTCGCCTAAGTTTCATAAAATAGCTTTAAAAACAAATATTTTACACAAAAATCTATCTACCTATGAAATCAGAACTAAAATCCTTTCATTTTTTTTAAAACTATACGGATTTGTGCGCTAGGAGCCCGTTCTCCCTGTTCCTCTAAGATTTTTGAAAAATAATTTTAAAGCATTTTTACAATCCCTGTAAGAATTTGGTATATATTCGTAGTTTAACGTTTCTAGGTTATATGATAAAAACCTGGTAAAAAGAATCTTTCCTTGTTCACTTTTTCTAGGCTGTTGAAATTCACCAACCATATTTGCCGTCTGGTCCCAGCATAGAACGAGCCACCACTTCCTTTCCCGTGGGTGTTGTAAGACATGACTAAGGAACCTTAATAGTCGAAGGTCAAGTCAAGAAGTTTCATTAGACTTTTTTTATAAAAGCTTTTTAAAATAAGTGTGTAATTCTAAACTGCTTTCATTAATGCTTAGCAAAAGCTTTTTTAATTTACAAATAAAAATCGACGTCATTATGGTATAGATCAAATCCTATCGAAGGATTGTAAAAATAACAATTATTTAAATAAAAATTGGCACGTAAAAAAGACAGACAATTTGAGAACTTCTTTTATTTTAAAGTCACTCATAAACAGAGTTATATTTTTTACCTCTGTATATTTTAAAAGACGTCTATGAAAAACTGCCGTATGTTTTTAAGAACTGCGTTAATTTCGATTACCACGTGAACGAAGACGGCTACTGCTAGTTAAATAATAAAACTTCTGAACTGGTTCCATTCCGGAAGGGAATTGAGACCGGTCCTGGACAATACGCGGAAAGCACAATAGTTGACTTGTCATTAAGGGGAATTCCTTTGCCAACATTATAACGAGTATCCAAGTATTGACGACTAACATTCACAATAATAAGTGAAACCCGCGTCTGATGAGACACTGACGTGGATCGGAACGACTGAATTGCCGCTTCGACCCTTGTTAATCAAATTATGACATTTACGACAGATGGCTCAAGATGGTACAAAAGAATAACATTATTAGAAATCGATAATTTAAAAAAAATCTTGGTACAGAATTCTTAGTTCCTTGATATCGTAATACTAGTTGACCCGACAGACGCCTGCCTAAATTCAATATTTTTCCTCATAAAACTCAATCAGACTATTGAAAAACAAAAAAAGAAAAAGCTAAATTGATCAAGCCATTTTCATGAAATGCTCTTACCAACCAATTAACGAATAGTATTTTATTTTCATTTATATAGATGATAAAGTGATTTTGTCTGTTACTTCGTAGTACTTTAATCACTCAACAAATTAATAAGAAATATTACATACACGTAGTATTTCGGATGGAGAAGTATATAGTTAGACTAAGTTTGATTTCAGCTGTATGGACGAACTAGTTTACATGTATGATCTCTTTACGTATTCTGTTTTCTTTATATGTTACGAAATTTACAAGAGTTAGAAAGTTTATCTTACTGTAAAGTCTAAATGAGTGTTATTTGTACATTGTTTACTTAGTATCTGTAATCACTATGTGACAAACAACAAACTAAAAGAGATATTCCTATTCTAAAAGTTTCAAAGTGTAGGTGAGTAGTCAGAAACATAATAGAAACATAGATAGAACCATTCATAAGGCTGAATTAATATTAATGATTGCGAATAAACTTATTATTAAATTGAAACACTTTTCTTTGTATAGGCCTTTGGCGTTCGATTCTCTCTATCTAGTCCGCAAAGAACTTAGTATAAAGACAAGTAATTGAATCTGTGAGATGCGATATCTCCTTATTTTTCTCACAAACAATGACTCAATTGCAAAACTAAGCACGAAAATGCTCGGATAAACTATTTAACCTACTTAATTTTTGTAATTCAGCACTTTAACAAATAGAAAACAAATAATGTACCATCCCATTGGTAAAATAAGGTAGGTACCTCTTTAATAAAGGGTGACGTATCAAGATGATACGAAGGGTTCCAACTGGTAACACGAGGGTCTCATGACAAAGCCCAGTACATCTTTAGATTATACTTCTAGGGTAAATTCAAGGTCTATCGCTGTTTTGAGTACGTACTTCTGTTATTTTTTTATGTTCAAATTGGCTATATTTAAATCTCATTTATATACGAAACGTTACTAAATATAATACAGTACACAATATTATACGATTTTTTTATATATATAGTAAAAGTGTAAATTGTACTTTTGATTTCTGATTTCGTAACACTTACTTAAAGTATATCGGTCATTCTTTAACAGCATTATCAATGTTTATAAATATTTTGTTTAACAAAAAACAAACTTTGTTGAATTAATATGTCATCAAAATAACAAAACGAATATTAAAAGATTGAAAAGAACATAATAGATTCTAAAAAAAGACATGTGTGTACTCGTAATATCCAAAATACGTATAATACAGTCAAGTGAGAATGAGCTCCTTTTTGAAATAGCTTACAAACTTCATACATAGTTATCATCATAGACAATAATACTAAAAACATTTTTAAATTATTCAACGTTTCATCATCACACTAAAGTGCATGTTTTTCTGAAGTTATACAATAGTGTACAGAGAGAGAATGATAGGATATGCATCCTGTCTTATTGATAGTCTGAATGTACTGAAGTTACATATCGGAAAATTTATAAATAAGATTATTATAGACGTCTGAATGGCATATTAAAATAATGTCAGAGGAAGGCTTTATACAAAGTCTGCATGGGTCGGACTCACCTATTTCTATCGACAAGCAACTAGCTTGAATTTTCTGTTTGAAGACTGAAAATGTGAAAGTACTCAAGTATTGTAACTCAAAATCTTCGTATCACAAAGGTCGACTATACGAAAGCGACGGCCTCTGATCTTGAAAGTGTTAACTAACTGCACATATGTATGTACAGATGCAATGATTACTAATAAGAAACTGAAGTACCTAATCGTATTACTACTACCTTTAACATACGATCATATTTATGAGAATTAGTAACTAATAGCTGAACCAAATATTTTAATATAAACTTACGACGCATTCGCTTCTGGTATGATGTCGTCGGCGACAACGTAGATCATAGCACCGGCAGCGAAGGCAAGCGCGTACGGTAGGGCGGGCTGCGCCGCTGCTACCGCTACCGCGCCTAGCACTCCAAACACGGGCTCCACCATGCCCGATAACTGGCCGTACCTGATAGAAAAAATATCCACAATTAATGAAATAATAACCTAAATAGCCATACCAACTGTTAACTCCACGTCCACTGCTGAATTAAAAATCACCCTTCATGAGAAGGGTTTTGCCAGTAGTTGCTATAATTGGTAATGAGTGAGTTGCGTGTTGGCAACCGCAATTAGGCTTTGATGATGTTTTAAGAGTGACGCTGCTGTCCATTCCTCGACAATTAAGTTCCCTTAGTCGCCTCTTACGACACCCGCGGAAAAGAAAGGAGTGGACCATTATCTGCAACGACCACACGACGATAAATTAAATAGGATACATTCTTTTAATGATAAGAATTACAAGCTGATGGTCTACCAGATGAAAAGTGGTAATCATCATCTGTAGATAGCATCATAAACATCACAGGCTACACTGTGGTTATCCTTCCTAAAGGCATAGAGACTTCGTATCTTATAATTATTCTATTATACATGCTTATTTCAAAACAAGACACATTTTATGAGCATGATTGGCTGATACATACATCATACTTTATGGAACATTTTGAAAGCATATCTGTCTCTAAAAATGACATACAAATATTTTAAAATAGATGAGAAATGTTCTTGCATTTTATTTATTCTTTAATTTGGTTTTCAAGAGTACATTGGAAAAGTAATACGTTGAGATTCCGTGGTGTTTATAAATTCCATATTTATTATATTAAATCCTTATTATTCGTATCACAAAAGTAACTTGTATAATTTATTGACAATTTACTATTAATTATTTCATTTGTGTTTTTACGGAGTACAGATTCGCAATTTACTTTTTAAAAGAAATGGATATGAACAAAAGTAGGTAATGAAGGTTTTGACCCCATTTATTGTTTTATGTTTACAGTTGGATACTTATATCATGAGCTCCACAGTCATAATAGAACTATATTACTGTAATACACTATTTTAGACATAAAAATTCAATGTAATCTAGATGGATATAAAAAGGTTTCAAAGTAACTTTCCTGTTATGAATACTTGTCCATGTTTATTTTCCTAAGAAGTAGATAACAATAGTGTGCGCCAATAACTTGTCATAAAGTGTTCAGTATCTGTTGATACTATGATATGGGATCTAAAGATTTTTAATGTGATAAAAGTAATATAAAACCAACATTAAAGTAAACACAATCGATTGCAATATAGAATTACTAAAATTGGTTCGAAACTGACAAAAGTATAGCGTAACATATACGAAAATACGCTGTGAAATTGCTAATATTTTCAATATTGAAAATGATAACGGATAATCACTTGAATTCGATGTAATGATGTTTCTCTGCTGAAAGTATAAATGACAATAAAGGACTATTAACTAATATTGTTGCTAAATATTTAATGTTATAGTTCTGGATATAACGCAACGTGATTTCATGTAAATAGTACTTACATCTAAATTGATTGTCATCGTTTCATTTAATTTCGACGAAAGTAAAATTGAAAGTCAATCATTTATTTACATAAATTTGGGTGAACATATATTTATATATACTTCAGAAAATATTCCATTGTAAATAGATAGACAAATAAATTGCGGCACTTTGAATAAAATTGAGACAAGCACACGAACTTGTGCTTTATCATTTATTTTGAGTTATTATTGTCCTATATGTCTTACATAATTAATTTAATTTAATGTTTGAAAGTTATTGGCTTTCATTGAAATATGAATGTTTTGAAGTCAGAGTTCATGTATAAATAGAAGTTATTCTTATTCAATAACAAAGCTGTTAATTAGATAAATCTTCCAGAATTAAGAGCAGACCAGGCAAGTGGTTGCGATGTTCATTTTAAACAGAACACAATGAGTACATGATAAATAATTATTATTTACATATCATTATTATTATTTTAGTACTTTGAATAGTTATGTTATTTGAGACATATAATATATAGCTCCGTCTGATGGTAATTGGTTACCGTACTTTATGGATGCCTGCAACCCCAGGGGTAATACGTGCGCGTTGTCAACGCTGAAGAAATCTTAATACGCCCATTTAAAGAGAACCATATAAGCCCATAATATTATTTTTACCGATAAATTTGGATAAAAGTTTCTTTGTTATTTTAATAGTACCTTTGATGATGTTTTAGTAGTACCTATTTACATAAGTTACTATGAATATAGTTTTGTTAAAATTAAATTCTGAAAAAACAAAGATATCGCGGTTCTTGTTCGAATGTACACGTGGTACACGTGTTTGAAAAAAAATCCGGGTTGAAATAATTTGGAATATTAAAATCATCTTAGGATTATCAAGTGTCAAAAATTATAGTACTACAGCATAATAAAAAGATTTTTACTTGATGACTTAATTTCGTTGATTAATGCAATATAGATTTTGGTCGTGAGGTGTCAGAGAAAACGTATCTACGTAGTAGTAGTCGGCTGCTTTCAGCGGTACGGAACTTCAAAAGGGCGTCGTGTCCAAAACGCCGATCACTGAGTTAAGTATCAGTGTGTTGTTAATTTTCACGTGTCCGGGTGGCGCGGGGTGGCGGGTTGCGGCGTGCGGTACGATGCCGAAAGAGGCCGCTAACGAATTGTTTTGGTGAAAGTGCGGGCCGGTGCCGCGACCACATTCCGATGAACTGGTCGAGGAGCCGCCGCTGTGGGAAACGCCGCCAGGGCCACCCCACACGACGAGCCGTAGCCCATACCTGGCGGCCGTTGCTGTCGACCAGCCTCACATACCACTATCCACTATACTATCATATTTTCAATACACAGGCACTAAGATAGCGGAGCCTTTCTAAAGTGCCAGTGAGGTGGGAGTATAATCAAAACGTTCCTACTGGAAAGGTAATTAAGAGTATTTTCCAGTTAATAACAATAACCATCAAGGGCACAGTAGTAGTGAGTGATAAAGATATATATAAACTTCTTAAGGGAGAGTTCTATTAGGTAAACTGAAAAAGGGTAACATATGGGCCTAAAAGCGATAGTTTCGAGCCTCCAGTACTGAATTGTCAGTTTGACTCGCCCGGTTAGTATGACAGGTCAAATATTTTATAATTTTTCAACCCATGTATCGTCAGGGGGAATGTTCAGATTCACTGATTGAATATTCTTTTAAAAGAATGCTAATATTGTGTATTTAGCCTTCTACACCGGAATTTCAACATAAAACTCTAAGAACAGAAGAGAAGAAAGAGCCTTTCCATCTAAAACAGTTTAAAACAGTAATGGAAGGTACATCATAGTGGTCATGAATTTATGTGTGAGGTTGGACTGTTTGTTCTGACACCTCATATAAGAGATTTCTTAATTCAGACTTGATGTTATAGCTTCTAATGGTCATCACGTTATTCATCCAAACATTAAATCTTATCTGACGTAAGAGCCTGTAACAGACCTGCATGAATAGTTATTTTTAATTTGATTAAATAAGAAATAAGTGTTGGCGATGATCTTAGATCAACAGAGCATGGAGAGGACGAACCAATGGCAACGGTCGCGGTACGATGGTGATGGCTGGGCAGCGGCTCTGCGGCAAGCGCGGGACGTGATGTTATGTTATCGCATGCATTATTCAGCGGGTGGCGAAAGCGGCAATTTGCGACAATATCCACTGATTCGGAGAATCGTCCGACTGTTGAGCCGCCGACAAGCAGTAAAACAGGATGCCCGTCACTCAATAGCCAAATGAATTTAAATAAAAGTTCAAACGTACAGAATATATTGTCTAATTATTTTAAGAATATTTCAGGTATGATTTCGATATTTGAATAACCAGAGGTTTTTAATTTGTCTGAACTTTTTTATATCTAAATTAACATGTTGCGACTAATAATGCTGTCGTTATTTTTTACAGGGCAAATAACTGCTTATTAGGTAACAAAATATTTTTACAACTATGTATATACACACGATTTCAAATCGTAAAATCAAATATTTCAATGTAAGGTATCTATGAAACATTTTGTAATTCATCAGCTTGACATCAGCTTTTTACAGAGCAAAATATAGTGATTTTGTAGTAATTTGTAGTGAACAAGTCCATATTGGAAAATTAAGTGTCAATAAAATGGCAACAATTCTTTACACGCATACAAGAGATATTTAAATAGTTTAATAGGCCAATTCGCGTTCGATTAACGTATCATTTGAACTAACCTGGAAAATCAATTTTCAACTTGGCACGGTTGACACGTGGATGTTCTGGGTTTTTATGGATGAAAATTGAATGGTAATCTCGCTTGCGCTATTGGTTTACGCTAGCTGGGTACTAATGAGGGATGTTAGATGACAATGAAGTCTGGTCAGTTGGCCCTTCGCAAAGGAAAATGTTCTGGGCTGTATTCTCAAAAGAGCTGAAGTATATTCTTTATGTGACACTACAGCATACCAAATTTGAAAATGGTGAATCGCTATGTATTGAGTATTGTATTGTAATAAAAACAAAAATTAACAAAAATTAAAAACAAAGATTAAGTAGTGATTACGAGAGAAAGATTTTGTATTAAAGGCGTCTGCTTGGGTAACCCTATCCCACTGGTGTTTCTGCAGTGAAACAGTTGTGCTTGTATAATTACGTTTCGGTTTGAAGGGTGAGATATGACAGCGTATAGAGGCATAACAACATAATTTTCAGGAATGGCAATGCACGAGGGATGTCATGACCGTCACAGTGTACTGTAATGTCCATGGTACCGTTCACATCTATAGGCGACCGTTACCACTTTCCATTAGGTGGACCGTCAGCTTGTGCTATTTTAAATTGCATATCTTAAGATCTCCAGGCTACAGTCAATCGTTGTCCAACTTAAATGTTGCAGCTAACACAATACACTTAAAATATATGATATCCATCATGTAAGGTATCACAGATTGTACAAGATTGTTCTATTAGATGTGCAAATTTTCGTGATGAGTAACGTCTGGAGCGAAATCTTACATCTTATTTAATATCTATTGGTTTTAAAATTGGCCTGTCCCACCAAGAACAGCAATATATTGGATTTATT